ATAGTCAAGCCACTCTTTAACTTCTAAAACCTTTCCCAGAAATTAAGTTCGCAGTCGGAGAATCCGTTCTTCAGACTCCCGGTTTCACCTCAACATCAGTTAATCAACATGTCAGAGCGTCCTGCAAAGAGACATCGTGGGCTTATTCAATAGCCCCAAATTGCCAAAGAACAATCCAGAAATTTATTGGGAAGCTTAGTGCTCATTCATGGAGACCTTTTGGAGACAGCACTGACGTCCCTCTGGGAGCCTTTTCCAGGCTGCATGGTAGTCGGTTTCGACGAGACAGCGAAGATAAGTTCGCAAGGAGATGCCTACCAGGCAGATGCAGACATAGTCGATCGCGTCTGGCGAAGCGACATGATTTTCGTTCTATAGCAAGGGCACGAGAAGAACATCATCCTATCAATCATTCGCGCGAAACCTGGCGAGGCGAGGAGCGTCGTCATCATAGAATCGTTCCAGCAGAACAGCGACACGTCGGATGCAAAAAGGATTCTGGATTTATGTATCCAGAAGTACACGAAAGCGCGAGCCCGATTGCCCATTCTTGTGTCGTCGGGAATACGATCAACAAATGCAATATGCCGCGCAATACAATGCAACCACCCTTATAATCTGGTTATTGATATCATCTTACCATACCCAATGAGTAGGGAATACGATCAACAACTGATAATGAGCCAGGTTTGCAATTGTTTGCGTTTGCCGTGCTGAATATCACCAATGTGGAAATCCCGCCAGTGATCCACGGTGGCATATGACGACGAGTCTTGTTGACCTGCCTCGGCGTTGGGATCAATGACTGGTTGAGCATAATGGCTGATGTCTCCGGAGATATCCCTCAGGTGCAGGCGTCAGCTGCGGCGGAAGAGATGAGCACGTCTGAACAGTCCTTGGCGATGAGAGCGCACTTGGAACGCCTCGACCGCGCCGTTGAAAAGCACTGTGACGACCAAATTGCTACTCTATACTCTTGGCGCATGTCACTGAAGCCGGTGCTTCAAGCAGTCGACTCTCTTCCAGCGCCAGCGACAGCTAGGCTTGGACGATCCAGGCAGTCGTCACGGGAGGCTAAGGCCCGACGGCTCGAAACCTCCGGAATGTCGCCAGTTGTATGAAGCATCCAGGCTTCGAAGCAAATGGAGGCGGGTACGCTCACGTTGGAGGCGTTGAAGAAGCTACGAGAAGATGTTGCTTCCCTCGGTCGCAAAAGCGGGAGCTATTGTTAGCCTGCTCGCATGGTGTTGTGCAGCTGGTTTGGAATTAGGGGCACCGGTTTTGCAATTGCGTCACGCATTGATTGACGGGACTTTACGCAAACCCTTTGATGTACGGATACAGTGGTGATCCGGGCTGACACAACTTTTGCCACGACACGATCGTACATTCCGAAGGCATTATGAATCTGGTTCATATGACACGGCTTTGACAAGAACATTACTAAGATTCTGTGCAGCCGGTGACCCACGAGAGGAATAATACTGCCGTTCCTGGGGCCGACGGAGTCGATTCACCTGGCTCGATGAACTTATTCTTTCATCAATCGACGGGTCCTAGTCACAAATCTTATCGGTCAAAGCACAGGTTCACCAAGCTGATTCATCAAATTGGTCAGAGAGCAGAGAGATACTTCGAGCCAATGTTGTAGGTCTGAGTGGGGCCTTGGGGCTTTTGGAACTTTGCGCCGGTGACTGGCCTGGATGAGGGACTGGGATTGATTCCTTCTGGGGGTTAGAGGAGCTGGTTGATGCTGGAAGTATCGTACAATGACGAGCTCTTGCGAATGCGTGGCTAGGGCAAGTGACTGTGAATCAAGAGGATGACTAGCAAAGGTTCTGGCATAAATTAGGTCACCGGTCGGGCTGGGTACCCCACTCCGATCCCGATCCCGGTCGCGGTCCCGGTCTCGTCACGATGCACCAGCCACCCGCTGCTTTAGTGTGGCGGGTTCCGGTGCGGCTGCCCTGCCGGTGCTGAAGTAAATATTTTGCATTCTCCGTGGATTGGTCATCTTGCAGTTCAACCCTATCTTCAATCGTTTGGCCTTTGCGATTGGTCCTTAATAACGGCTGCATGTTGTTGTTGTTGTTGTTGTATTTAACGCCCGCTCTAAACCTCTAAGAGGCATAAGGCGTCCGCGCCGGCAGTCCACTAAGGATACGCATCTGCGCGATGTCCACAGCAGCGTGCGCTGCTCTCAGCGCTTTGGTCTCTAGATGTTGGAACTTTTTGAATTATGTTATTTAATGAGCTTCAGTCATCTAGAACACATGGCGTTGATGATGTAACTGAGATGAACGAGGCCGGGCCGGAGTGCCGGAGACTAAGTGGGGCCGGGGCCCCGCACGGGATTTCGGGTATGGATTCGCCTGGCGGGGTCCACAAACACAGCGGCAGCGAAGAGGAAAAGACCTCACTTTCATCGAAAACGATATTCTTTCATTCCGAGAAATTTGGAAAAATGCTCAGCGGCTTCATACGCTGTAATTCATTTGGTATTGCCGAACTGCGCGTCTTGACAGTCGGGCAAACGGAACCTGAAATGGATTCATGCACGTCGCACGTCAAGGTAGTTCAACACTTGTGCATCTGTCTTGCTTGGTCTTTTCCGCGTGATCATTTGAAAAGTGTCGAGCAGATTCCGATTTCCCAGGATGATGAAGGGTGCCCTGCAGCCCGTAGTCTCCTCGCCAAAATGTATCTTAGAGCCCTATCACCTCACCATTCTCAACGTCGCATCGCCAACAATCGAATCTTGCGTTCGATTTCCGCACGAGCCGGTGCGCCAAGCATGGACGAGAAAGGTATGATGATACGAGTAAGTACGATGGAAAGAATGATATCAATTGTCTCGGATTGCTGCAACATCTTCTTTCTGATAGCTTTTCATAAGCTCAGAGTAAAGCATCCTGGCCTTTTCCCCCACCCTGATCTTCGCCCTCGCCTTAATTGGGTATCCTTGCCCGAGACATGGGCTTACGAAACATGAGGGATGTCACATCGAAAACTCAAAGCTAACACATGGGTCTTCGACCGTCGCTCTGTTGCCAGAACGAACTTGGCAACAAAAATGCTTCCTGGCGTGTGAAAAAACTGTCGGCATGTCAAACACGAGGAATGGCGATCTTAGAGGACAACCCCGCCGCAACTTGGCTGGGTTGATGCCCAGTAGCAAGAAGAAACCACGCGAAGTCACTGTGGCCCGTCTTAGCGGCATCAAAGTCACATACGATGTCATCCTGATACTGGGTCAGGCGTCGAACTGTTTCAATATGGCCATATCCCTGCAAGCCTTGCTGTTGCCGTCTCCAACAAAACCATCCTACGAGCTGGTGCAACATTGAGATGATCGAGCGTCGCGTCGTTCTGGAACCATACGGAGCAAAGGCGGTGGCGAGAGTGAGCTGAAAATCATTCCATTGCTCCCGATGTGCTCTACGTACATTGTGTACCAGTTTCCGTTTCCAACCGAATCGGGTGCGAGTCCGAGGAGTGTCATCAACCAAGGCCCGGGCCGCGAGACTAGCGAGAGCAAAGGCCTCAGAACGGGCGTTGAACGGGAACCAGGCACCCGAGCGAGAACAGTGGGTGCTGAGCAAGGCCGAGAACAATGGAAAAATAGTAAGGGCTGCGGAGGGCCTGTCTATTAAGATTAAGGATCACTCAATGATTGCCAGACAAGTTGTGGTTCTTCTGGAAGAGATCAATCGTCGGCGGCCAGTTACCGAGCGAAGAAAGGGGCTGCCGAATGTGGACAAGGATTACCGCACAAGCCAGTGGACGGAGTATATGGCGATATTCGATGCTCTCTGAAATGGTCAAGCCGTGTGACTGCACAATGCTGAGGCCGGTTTTCTGAACATTACCGTGGAAGACTTGCCAAACGAAACTCAGGAAAGAACACCAAACCAGGCCGAGCCCAAATTCTTATGTCGCTAACCGGTCTGAGATCACGCAGGATTGCCCCTGTACGATGATTCAAATGCAGAAGAGACTTATTCTCGAGACGTCATTGCTACGAAAAGGGCACGATCGGGTCTTCTGGACGTAGCCAGGCTGGGAAGAATGAAAGATTCCGTCAATAGACCAGATTGAGACCTTCAAGAACGTTCGAATGCAACGGTTTCTAAAGAATTTGTAATAATCTGAAGCCTGTGGTGTGAAATATGCGCTGCAACACCCCTGGCTTGTAGCGTTACTTCTCGGTGGATAACTTCTCGACGGAGAGAGCGAAATGTCGTCTTCCACAAAAGATGCTATTCCAATACCGACAGTGTGACAGCCGTGCAAAGCCAGAAATAGGGTCGTTAGGCTTCCTACTCACCGCTTGAGAGCGAAAGACCAGTTTGGGAGGACAGTTTAATACGACGCTGGACAGGAGCATACCCACGATAGAGCACACATATCGTGACACCTAGAGGAAGCGTTCTCAAGAGTACAGCCTAGGTTTAAGTCTTAAAGATGTCCAAAATACATCATCAATGTGTCCTGATGCCTGCCTACTGTGACCGTCTCAGAGACTCCAGGCCGGCTCGAGAGAGGGAGCACTATCATCTGGGTCGTCATAGCTTTCTGGTTGTGCAGGATCTGCTTCTCCCAAGGCCGTGCATCCATCCCAAAGTCGCCTGGACTGCGTCGGAGTTTCCCGTAATGCGAGAACAATAAGCCCATCAGTAAGGCTCCTTCCTCGGTAGAGATGACAAGTACATAATCATGGCGATTATCCCAGAGATAGCACCTGCCAGTGCTTTCTCTGCGGCATTAGTAGCTTCCATGTCATCCTCTCAGACGTGTTTCGCAGGAACGAGTCCATGGCTACTTCTAAAACATCGTGATTACATGCAACAACTTCATCTGCGTCCCGGAATCACGTACTCTAGAATCAGACTGTGCTCAAAGCACCTCACCTCAATCCACACCTGTTTGGCATCGACCTTCAAAGGCGAGCCTAGCATTAAGAAGATCAAAAACAGCGGACTTCACAAGAGCTAGCCAACATGGACCCCATTCCGAGCTCGACCGCCGTCTCAGCCGCTCGCGTCATGTCGGCGACCGAGCTTCGACGACAAATCCTGGCCGCGATGACACCGAACATGACAGCATTTATTAGGATGCGACTTGCCAAGAAGTACGAGCCTTGTTCCGACAGCTGATCACTTTTACCATTGACATATGCTGATCTAACTACTCTAACAGCGCCGTTTATAAAAGCATGATGATGGACGTTTTCGCGAGGGAAGCCGGACAAATGCAAGAACCGGCTGAGAGACGCAAGAGGGATGAACTGGACCAGAGATCAACCAGGTCACGGTGCGTAAAGGACAAGGACATTCGAAACGCAGATGCTGCGAGACGTGCCGAGCTCGTAGAGAGACTCAACACTCTGTCGAAGACCATGCAGCGCAGTGCAAAGATATAGGGAGGGATCATCGGGGTTACCATTGCAAGGGAAGAGGGGGAGTAGGAGAAAACACCATGAGGCTTACAACATAACCATCATTATGAAGGAGGCGCAGGCTTCGGCAGTATTCGCAGCTTTGCCCGAGAAATTGAGAACTCTTATGATTCACGAAACTCCCTTCCGCTGGCATGTTGAGGTGAAGAGGTCGTTGAGCATGGGGCCATCCTCATCTCAGCTCACAATCTATTCTCAATTATAAAATATGTCGAGTTACTTCTCAACACGAAGTCACACGAGTTGTCTAGACATGAATACGATAGCAATTGGCGGAACAAATCCAACATTTATAGAAATCATCCACTAACACCCTTCATCCAACCACTTGTCCATGTTTCGTCTCGCTCGGCTATGTTTCAATCTTCAACATTGGTTACGACTGCTACTGTACGTGCCGATAACGCTTGAAACTGAATATGGAGGCCTGGGAACTGGGTAAATATCATATTTCCGGCGAGAAAAGGTGGGCAACTGCGCAGGGCAATGCACTCCAAAATTGTGTCTTCTCCCAATATTACTGGCTTCGCACTCAGAAATCCGTTGTTCTTCATTCCCGTCTTGGCCTCATGTTTGATGGTTGGGCCTCAGCCTAAGTATTCACATCCCGCTAGCCACATTGCCGACCTACTGTCCACGCAAAGCTCACCACATTGCATTCCGCACCGCGGGCGCGGTTGTGTTTTACCTGTAAACAGAGCCCCGAGTCCATGATGTGACCGTGCTCTCAATGTGTGTTTGTGAATCTGCACTGTCGTTTAGGCAAGCTTTTAACCAAGATCGATGACCTGAGTGGGGGATCAATGGGGAGGGGAAATGTCACGGTATCCGGGCGACCGGGGGCCCGGGCCGCTACAGTGGGGCAACGGCAGCAGCGGGGCCGGATGAGATCGGCCGCTCAATCGCGGTGCGAGCGCCGCGCCCAGTTTATCCTTAGAAACAGTGAGAACATTTCCTTCGTGATGAAATGATACCCTAATCGTTCGTTTCATATACTGGCTTCCAGGGACTTTGCTGCGGTTTCGCAGTTGCAGTGTTGATGAGTTCCACTGCTTGGTTCGAAATCCCGCCGTAGACTCATACGGCGGGCGAATCGATGAGTTCCGCAAATGAACAGTGAAAGGTGCGGTAGATACGGGATGCCTCTGAATCAAAACGATTCAGGGTTCGAAAAGTATCCACTCGCTTTCTAGAGATGGGGTATCCGACTATTCTCTATAACTCAAAAGAAGCTCCAAGGATTGGGGTGTCTGATCCGGTTTTGATGTTTCTGGGGGTTGAGAAGCGCCGTATCCACAAGCACATATATGCACTGTCGGAGAGATGTTCGAGAAGAATACACGATCTCGTCGGCATCTAAGCTGGAGTACTAAAGGTCTGCACTGCTGAACACCGTCATTGGTCAAACGAACTCAGGAAAAGCCCTCGCAATCCTTCCACGAGTTGCCCTAGCCTTTTTCGCTGGTATGGACGCAGCATAGTGTTTCGGTGCATCTGAGCACTCATTGTTCAGAACACAGTATATGGTAGGTTGGTTTTGATGCCGAGTGAAGAGATCTCTTGAGTACGGCGCATCAGAGCGATCTGACTGACTTAAACTGATATTTGAGACCCATGGGAGCAGGTTACGCGGAGGCTGCCCCGACTTTGAAGTTTAAGTTACACCGTTAGCTCAGCGCCTCACAGACTCTCCAGTCAATGATGTGAGGGGCCCGAGACACTGATGGTCGGAGTAAGATCCAAGACTCACAAGATTACACAGAGACGATCTACTACCACGAAATGTGAACCCGAACCCTCCTCAAAAGTCGTATGATCACTATTCCGGGCATTTGAGCAAATAGACTGTCTCTTGTCGAGTCCACATGTCCTCAATATCTTGCACATCCGCTCAGAGCGTGGAATAAGGTTATCCACCCCCGCGCACTATGTCGCCGGCAAGATAGCAGATCCTAAGTACTCACATGGTTTGGGCTGAGGGATTAGACTCGGTGCGGGTGAGCGAAAGCATGTCTTGATGTTAGGCTTGAAGTGTCCACAGCTTAGAAGTTCGGAAGCGGGATCGGAATAATCTTCAAACGACCATGCACCCAACGTCAAATACGCCGAAAAGCTTCGTGGTGTCACGCAGTGAACGATGTTAAGAGTGCTGGTCGGATACGTTTGAACATGATCATGATTGCTGATGTCTTTTCCCGACTCGAATTGCAAGAGAGTAGTAGGATGAAGAGCTCAGGGGTAGCCGCAACGATAAGTATGGTTTTGTTTAATGACGGAATGACGCTTGAAAATAAATCAACACTCAGCTAAGTGTGTCTTGCGGCTAATCAATACACGTCTTTCAATTTCGACAGCATCCGGCCGAAGCACCGCTGCACCAGTCCTGCGCTTCATCAATGTCAACGCTTCTTCACCCAAGCAACAACCGTAGTTGAACATGCCGTGCTGCGCTCTTCTAATCATGACGCGCCCTTCCACGACTCCATCGGAGCCGACGCCGGCGGTGTCGGGTACTCTCAGCTCCGCTGCGGCCAACCGCGGCATTAGTAACACGCTGGGCAGCATCCACGAAGCGACTCGCGTCCTCCGACAACGAGGCGGAAGTGGAATCGGGGCCGAGCCTAGCAATGACCAAAAGTTGAAACGCAATATCGACAATCCTCTGAGCTTGATCATCGGTATTGAGTTGGTTGAACTCGTGGTAGTCATCGCCGGCGTCTAGGTTGAAGTCAACATTGGAATCGTCGCTGTGGTTGGGGCGTGAATCCCTGTTGGGTTCCACTGGCGACATGCTGCGGCTAGTGGTGTTCGGATCAAAGTCCATTATCGCGCTGGTCTCGGATCCAACCGATTCATTGTTGGTGGCACTAGGATCGGATCCATGCAATATGCCAGCGGGGCCATCGGAGGGAAACTGAAGCGTGGGTATTCCACCCAAGGTAGCCTGGGAACGAGACTCCCGACGCTGATCATCTCCCTCTCGTTCGGACTGAGGCTAATCAAGTAATGGGTCAGTTGGAGTCCGGCGGCAGAAGAACGCATTCGATCAGCAGACGATGATGGAAATTGGACGTACCATAGACAGATCCATTAAATTGCTCGTAGGTTCGTCGGAGACGGAAGTCTCGTCAGCCGGGTTGTTTCCGGGGTGGCCGGGGGCACGGGACCCAATCTGGTACGGCGGAACGGCCATGTTGGAGGGCGTCCGGAGTGATGAAATGCAGGCGGTGCAACAGAGCTTCAAGCAAAGCCACTATTGTAAGCTGATTTGTATGTCGTTCAATGCGAAAAGATGTTGTGCTTCGTCGGCGGCTGGTTGAGGTTGATGTTGATTGCTAGTTATCGAGGAAGTTTGGAACCCTACCGCCGCCGTCAAGCGTTCGCATTCCAAGGGACATAGGTTGCTGTGTGCCTTCGGGAGGAGCAGGTGTCGGCACATCAAAGGTTGATCTAACAACGGGGAAGAGCAAGTAGCAACTGCACCACTTAAGTCGTTCTGAATCAACAATTGCTTAAGAAGGTAGTCTGAGTACAGAAAACTATTCGGGAAAGGCAACCAAATAAGACAACTACACACGGTGGCAGGTATCCTGGGAGAATCACCACACGTGCACTTGCCTGGACACACGAAGTGAGTTTCATGCAAGAGCAATCATGAACAACAGGCGGGTGCGTGGGAAAGACTGTCCCGCTCGTAATACCTTATCTACACATCAAAGGCTGTTGGAAGGGGCGTTGCGTGATTCCACTGCGTTCATGTTCCTGTGATGTCAGTAAAAGACGAACTCTCTAAAACAGCGATCGACGGTTGATGCTCTGATGGAGCAATTCAAACCTACAGCGGAGAGTGTAGATGCCAAGGATCTCTGCTATGTCTCGATATCCCATCTAATCCTTTAGCGGAATTGCGAGCGCCTCGAACCTGCCGCACTTATCATACGGAAACCTGCGGGTGCAGCCTGCCGGCGTAAGGGGTAGGCATTTGTCCACCTGGAAGGAAGTAGAAGCCTTACATCGAGAGCTCCGAGTATCAACACCAGCAGCTTCCGTTTTGTCAACCTCCCTTTTCCAAAACGGCAAGAGGACTGGCTGCGCTTGTAATTCTTTGTGTTCTCGAGTACTACGTACGTCCCATCTCGGTACGTATGGATTTCCTTCCAAGTTTTCCCTCCTCACCTTCCGAAATCTTCTAACGACGTCCCACCTTGTTACGATCAAAGAAGACTTTTGAATTACGTCCCGATAAACCGTACATCAGCTTGCATCTCGATCTCAGCAGACAGTATCGTCTCAAACGGACATTCTTGATCCCAAACCACGCAGACCATGGCGCAAACATCCCCAAAGTACAACGGTTCCCTAGATCAGAGGGCAAACAGGCCCAATGAGGCCGACATCCACCTCTCGCCGACCAAAAGAACACATGGAGTTACACATTGGGGTTTTACACACCTTTTTGACAACTACCTCAGCCTCTACTGGTTCAGAAGTAAAAGCATCGACAGCCCAACAAACCCAGAATCGTCAGCCCGTTCTCCAACCTCATCGAAATCGACCTCCGCTTCGCCAATCACCATCACTGGCCACGAACGAGGCAACCCCATGGATGATTGTGCTTCTTCATCAACGCAAAGGCAAACCTACAATGATACTACTTCATCATCAGACTCTATCGAAAAGCCCAACTCCGGGAAACTGAGGGCACCTCCGCGTACAGTTACAAGCACAAGTCAGGGAGTCCAAACAGTTCAACAACCGACAATCTGCACCACTAAGCCATATACTTCAGCCGCACACGAGGCAAACATCGGAAGAAAGAGGGTGCCCCCGCCTAGCCCCATACGAGCAAACACCAAGCGGAACCGCCGATAGCTTTTCGGAGGGTGAACCGGAGATTTTAGTTGCCGACGAAGGCAGGAAAAGAGAGGGGCCATCAAATTCAACGCGGCTTTCCAAGGCCAAGTATTCATCACCACGAGCCGGGTCACTGGAACGCCTGATGCGCTCTCCAAGCTTTGTTGGTCAGTCCAGATAAGGCCAGTCACGAGAGGTTTAACCGGAACGTACATCATGTCAGAGTTGACGAGGTTTATAGCGGTATAACACAACCGGGGGTAGGGAGGTAGTGAAATGGCGCGGCCATAGTTGGTCTTCAGGACGTCAGTACAAATATTTATTCTCACCGGTTTTGCGCATTCCTTTCCATACGAGTGCAGGCAGTTGTTTCATATCACAGAGGGGTCTTTTGGAGACTGCCATAGAAAATTCCGAATCGCGATTGAACGACTTCCACCAAGCTCATGAATATGGTTTTTCTTGTGATTGTGCGGTGTTCCTCTCAAAGCATTGTGCTGATGATGGAACGTGCTTCAAAACACACGGCAGATCTCGGAACCGAAAGCGGAACGTCCAGAGCCTCGTTGGTGAATGCGAACAATGACGCTCTACGATCAGCGCATGGATACTATGACGGCTCAGCGTGTAAGACTATCGAAACAGTCCACGGCATGGGCCTTTTCATGAGGCGGATGCTGGTCCATGGTCACGAAGACCGGTTGATGACATCGGCAGATTGTCTGAATCGTGTATATATGTTGAGATGATGAAAAGTCATCTCAACATACAAGTAACTGGGCGAACCCAGCCACAAGCTCGTCCAGAGACGAAATCGATTTCGGTGATGTCCGTCAAGCTGGAACCTCGCAGACTGAGTCAGGTGTCTACCCTGCTGATGTGGCCTTTCCAGGCTTCATGTGCTTTAATAAGCCACCGTGGGACACGCTTTAAATTGCGTCGGGAGATAATCAGACGCAAAGCCCTGTGAAAAGATGACACGATGATGTTGGCGTTCGTGTCCGGGAAAAATCACGGATCGGCGGGTAGATCAAAATGGAATCTGAGCATCAGGACGAAACCGTGTCCACAAATTGGAGACTCGGGTCGGGCCGGGCCGATATTAATCTCCGGTCCAATCTCGATCCCATCGCAGCCCCACCTATCCGGGACAATACTGCCTAGGACAGTATCACTACCGCCTAGAACAATACCAATACCGCCTTGGACAATACCGCGTAGGAAAATATCGCCTAGGACAATAACGGCCAACCCAACAACCCAGCGTACGACAGCTGCAGGTGAAGCAAACGACGCGCACCCACGAGGGTCTAGAGCCCGGAAACGCGGTGGCACGATGTAGTGATAATAACAAGGGGCGGAGATTGATCTGACGTGGAAAAACAGCTGCAAAAAAAGAACAGAAAAGGTAGTTAAACTTTCGCAACATCGTCAATTCCATGCCCAAAATTTGTAATCCGAAAATGGCTCACAGGTGCTGGTCCTAGGCCTTTTCCTCGGTTGGGACTTTGAGGACATTGGTGCCAGTCTACGACCCTCCGCCGCCACTCGCTGTCGAGTTCTGCGGAGTCTTCGTTGCCGGGCGACAACCGCGAGCCCGTGCATCCTTTATCCGGCCTTTCCCCGGGCGCGAATGAAGCATCACCTCGAATAAGCTACAGGGACTGTTGAGCGACGACGTACTCTTCATTCAAGGCGTTCAAAAACCATTGCGATGCTCAGTCGCTTCCAATGATGATTCCTCTTCATGACGCGAGCTTGGGCAGTTTCCGTGATACGCGATCCCTTGGCCTTTCTCGTTCCAGAGGTGCCACCGGCGCAGGTGTCGTGAACTCGACGTCGACAGATGCGATCCATCAGGAACAGCCCTGGAGCCCCCAGGTTTTTCATTTCGTGTAGGTGTCCTCTTCTTCTCGTTGTGCCTCTCAACGTTGTGTTCTTTCCCAGTGCCACACGTCGCGTGCCTGCCTTCCCGCCCGGTCCTCCCCAGCTCCTTCCCTCACTTCACATCGCTCCTTCCTCACATGCCCTCTCCGTCTCTCACCCTTCCGCACCAGCCCCGCCCGTACCTTTTTCTTTCAGGTTCCCTCCCTTCCCGTCACCACCAGCAGTCACATGGCCTAACGGTCATGTGTGTGATAAAGCTGACCTGCACATGCTAACCTCTATAAGCGTCTCGAGTTCGAGTCTGCCGGCTGGATGCCTCTGTGTAGTATTGAAGGCCCAGTACCCCTTACCAGGTGCTGGGAATAGGGTTGTCCACTCATCCTCGGATGGGTGTAATGCCCCGCCTTACTCACACCTGCTACACATAGTCTCGGATGAACTGTCCATGGGATGCGTGAGCGTCTCCCCCCGGTAAGGGGGGCCTTATCTCTATAGACTGTAGCGGGTGTGGTAAGGCTTAAAGCTTTTGCATTTTGATTTTTTGGTTGGTGTGATGTGATTGCGATTTTTTTTGTCGTGTTGCAACGTCGTGATGTCGCGATATTGTGGTGTCGCAGTGTCGCCTTGTTGTGGTGTCGCAGTGTCGCAGTGCTTCCTCTACCGACCGCTGGCCCGTAGGATTGCATTGAAGATGACTGTGGCGCGCAGTCGCGCTAAAATGAATCTGGTTAAGGAAGAAGATCATACATAGGTGGGAGAGCTCACACGCGCGAGCAACTTGGTCGAAGCCAGCCAGACAGAGACTCGGCACGATATGAAATTCTCGCGTTTACTACCTCGGACTCGATATACTCTGTTTTGAGGGCCGGACGTATTGATTTCGTCCCCGATTGCTGGGCAACATTTTGTCCAAAGAGACTACCGTAATTGTGAGTTCTCACGGAACACACAAGTCGAAGGAAAAATCACAGTGGTTGTTGCGGCAAATTAGTTTGGAGTTCATTCATTCTTCCACGAGCATGCCAAAGTTGGATCTGGCTCAATACGCAAAGCAGAAGTCCGTCCCTGCGCTACGACGGGCAGAAGCTGTCGCGAGCTCACAGATTTGGACGGGTTCCCTCCATCCGGGGGCTGTGGTGCTTTCCGACACTTTTCTTCGGCAATGCATGTCGGCCAGATGAATCCCTCAGCGGCTTTCATGATGCTTAGTGTCGATACCAGTATTCGACCAGAAAGGTTTCACAAGGCACGACAGGTTGCGGGATCCCATCCTCATCCAATACCAGATATAAGATCCACAATAGTTACACCCAAGAAGCCAGGCCTCCAGAGAGGCAGGCAAATCGTCAATCTCAACTCTCTTAAATTCTCAACGGCGTATAAAATGATGGGGCTGAGGCTGCGCTGCGTCTAATTAGTCAAGAAAACAAAAGGCTCTTGCAATTTGGAATG